GCGGAGCCCTGGGCCTGCACGGGCAGCACTCGTGCCTCGTCCACGGGGAGCCAGCGGAGGCGCCAATGTGGTCACAGGTGAGCCCTTGCTCTTCATTCCTTGTGGTTGCTCATGCAGCCGTGTGGCTTTGAAGGTCAAAGCAGAATGAGTTTCCCTGTGTTTTATTCAGGGCAGAGTCCCTGCTTCAGCGTGCAAATTCCTCGTGTTTTGTCTTTCGGTTGCTTGATTTAGTGAGGAACTCACTGGGGCGGTTTTCCTGTGGTCCGTAGTGCGTGCGCTTGGTGTAGTTGTCATACGCTTGGCTTGGCGATGTTGTCACAAATGCCTTGTTTAGGTGTGCTGCCCCCTTGGTATTTATTTGGTTCTCATGACCTGGAAAAGACAAGAGACCGGTGACAAGCATGATCCCTTTTCTGGGTTTGACCTTGGTAGTGGCACAGAGCTGGCTGCCTAGTAATGGCGGAGGAACAGGGTGTCCTTCACTGTCATTTGCCAGCTGCGGTCCCCAGGACAAGTGGATTAGGAGCTCCAGGGCCCGGGGCGGGCTCTCTGACAGTCTGTGCTTTCTGGGCAGGCCTGCAGAGATTTCCTGGTGTTGGCCCAGACTCACAGTAAGAAGTGGCAGAAGTCGCTGCAGTATGAGCGCGACCAGCGGATCCGGCTGGAAGAGACCCTGGAGCAGCTGGCGAAGCAGCACAACCACCTGGAACGGGCCTTCCGCGGGGCCACTGTGCTGCCGGCCACCACCCCAGGCAGCGCCGGGCCGGGGAAAGGTAAGGCACTGGCTGGGTGGTGTCACCACCAGGACCCGCGCAGCTTGAGGTCAGGCGGAGCCCGAGCTCTGTTCCCTTACCCTCTGGCTTTCCACTCACGGTCAGATACTGGGTTTGTGGCTTGTGTTTAAAAGAGCCTGTCAAGCCAGGCATTTGGAGTAACTAGCTGAAGCAAGCGGGCTCCTCTGCTTGTAGGTCAGGGCTGCGCCGGCAAGGGGGACATGAGCGATGAGGACGATGAAAATGAATTCTTCGACGCCCCAGAAATCATCACCATGCCTGAAAGTCTTGGCCACAAGTAAGTGACCTGGGCTGGGCAAGCGAAGGGCGTGCATCCGATCAGCGGCGGCTTGCTGAGACCCGGGCCCCGCCGTGAGCGGAACATGGGCAGCTCGGACAGGCCCGCCGTGGTGGGTGTGGCACTCCATTCTCCCCTGGGTGTCCTCCCCCAACACCCATCGGTTAGTGGGCTCAGAGGAGCACTGGGGAGGGCCACACCGACTCCAGTCTTGGCTCTTTTCTGTCCCCGCAGACGCACTGGCAGCAACATCAGCGGGGCCAGCAGTGACATCAGCCTCGATGAGCAGGTAACGCAGCAGACGCTGTCGAGCTGAGGGCCCAGGGTGTGCTCCCTCCGGCTTAGAGTGTGTACCATGCTGGGGAGACAGGAGGTCCTGATTTATAAATTTTTTCGCACAGGGGAAGGGAAAGTTGTAGCAGATTTTCTCTTCTTTGTGGGTGACTGAATGGCCTTGTTCTCGCTCTCAGTACAAGCACCAGCTGGAGGAGACCAAGAAGGAGAAGAGAACCCGGATCCCGTACAAGCCAAACTACAGCCTCAACCTGTGGAGCATCATGAAGAACTGCATCGGGAAAGAGCTGTCGAAGATCCCCATGCCGGTGAGGTCCTCGCACAGCCGGCCGCTGCCGTGAGGGTCCCGGCCAGGCTCGAGCTGGGACGGCCCCTCCTGCGCGGCGTCAGCAGGCCCTCTTAGGTTTGCAGGTGTAGTTGTGGCAGTGGCCTGGCGAGTGTGCCTGTGTGCAGTGACCGCTCTTCCTAGCAGGTCCCCCTGCGGGCGTGCAAAGATAAACACAGCATGGCTGCTGTCTCTGTGAGGCGCACAGATTGAAAAAGACAGACATGGAAAGAGGTTGAAAAGATTCTCTGAAGATGTCAGGGAAATACAACCAGACATACACAGGGTTTGGGAACACGGAAGCAAAACCAAGTTGCCCAGCCCAGAGGCCAAGGCTGTTTCCATGGTGACCATGGCTTTGGGCTGACCCCCAGCCTGGGGTCCTCTGGTCTTGTCACAACCTTTGAAAGTGATCTTTCTAAAGGTCACACATGCAGTCCTGTCCCTCTGCTTAGAACCCTTTATGGGGTGTTGCTCTGCAAGCGTAGCCTGGAGACTTGCACGGCCTGCGTGTCCCTTGAGGCTGGGCCCAGTGTTTTCTCCTGAACTTCTCCAGTTCCTCCCTGACCCTTGGTCAGGCTCCAGCCGTTTTCGGAAGGCTGCAGCTCAGCCAGCCAGGCCAGCTGCCTCTGCCCTAAGCTCCAGTGAGTGCCCCTCTTCACATGTGGCAGCGCTGGACTCTCTCAGCCCGCATGCACTTGCTGAGGGCCGCCCATCGGCCTGGTACTGGCCCAGTATGTACGTTAGGCCCGGGTTCAGTAGAAAGACAGTGCGGGTCTGGGGATGCAGCTCTGTGGCACCGCGCCTGCCTGGCAAGCACAAAGTACCTAGTCACTTCCTGGTACCAAGAAAAAGATAGTCTGAATGTGTTGGTTCAAACCATAGGTTAGCAAACTGAGCCAAGAATGGTTTTTGAATTTTCTGATTTTAAGTGGTTGAAAATAATCCAAACACACGCACTTCTTGTGCTTAATGTCAGGAGTCTTCTGTGGGACCCAACAAATGCACCTTCCCTTCTGCCTGGGTGCGGCTGCCTTCCTGCTGCCCTGGCAGTGTGTGCAGGTGTGACACAGCGCGTGGCTCTGTGACCTTGGCTGTCCAGCCCTCTCTAGAGCAGGCGGCAGCCCTGCTCTTACACACCCCGGTCAGCCGCTTGCCCCTTGTGGAGCTCTGGAGGGGGTGGGCTAGGGCCAGCTCTTGGCCTGCGCTCAGGCCCAGCCCTCGGGTCCACAGCAGCTGCCATCTCCATGGCTGTGGGGGTCCACAGGTCAGCAGGAAGGGGAAGAAGACGGGCAGGCTCTGTCCGCAGAGGGCGCTGTCTGGACCCTTTGTAGCCCACGCCTTCTCATCTCCGTGGATGTAAATTCACTGCTGGAGAGGAGGCAGGCAGCGAGGATGTGGAGGCGACTGCAGGCTGTCACAGCGGGGACTTGGCTGTCTTTCTGCCCTCCTGATTTCTGCCTCCGACCAGACACCCGTCCTCACTGGCAGGTGCCGAGTAGTCTTCTGGTCCTCATACCTGATGCTTGGCCCAGGGCCTGGCTCTGGGAGAGCTTTCCACAGATGCTGAAGTAATGAGCTAACTGGGTCTTCAAAAGCAAATGGGTGTTCATGTCTAAATCTGTAGGATTTGTGTTAAAAAATGCTAGCCAGGAATGGGGATGTAGCTCAGGGATAGGTCTACCACTTTCCTGTGTAAGCAAGGCCCTGGATCCCAACCTAGAGCCACCAGGAATATGGTGACCAGAGACAAGAGAACCAGCTGGAGATTGAGATGAGGTGCTTGAGAGGAAGTGACGGGGGTGGGTGGGGGGACTGATGCCTTAGAAGTGGAGCCACTGAGGCAGCTGCTGGGACAAGGGACCTCCCTGCTCCCTGCCCTTCCTGCTAGACCCTGTAGGCATCTCTAGCAAAGTGCAGTCCCAGCCTCTGTGCAGAGCCTTCCTGTGCCTGCGCTGGGGGCTGGGGTCGCAACACGCCAGCTCCAGTGGCTGCCGCCTCAGTCTGCCTAAGCCAGGCTGGGCCCTGCCACACTGCGGTGAGGAGCTGGGCGGGGCACGGGGCTCTCCTGGCCCATCTTTCCCAGCTGCTGGGAGCTCTTGCAGGGTCCCATCCCACCTCAAGGTTTTGGCTTCCACCAGGCCACCGCTGGGCTGCTCATCCTTGCCCTGCTCGGCTTGGTTTCCTGCTGCTGCTGGTCTCTGGGTATCCCCTGGGCTGCCCGCCCCTCATCGCCCGGACAGCAGCTTTCCTGCTGTCTGCCTTTTGCGTCCTCAGATGCTTTTGTTTCTCTTTGGCCTCTGCACAGTGAGTGGCCATTGTGAAAGCGTGGGCCACGTAGAGACGCTGGTTCCTGGGACAGTCAGAAGGCAGGGCTGTGTGTGCGGAAGGCAGTGTTAGGTCAAGACACCGACTCGGGCCCGGGCATGGCTGTCTCGTCTAGTGGCCGCTAGAGAACAGCTTTCTCCAGCTTCGCAGGGCATGTGGGCATGTTACCTCATGGTGCCTGCGTTGTTGCCCCAAGAGGCGTTGGTGGCATAGTTAATAAACACCCTCTCGGATTAGGACTTGTTGTCTTGATTAGCTTCCTGGTGTCTGGAAGACGGTTTGCGGGTGAGGTGCCCTATTTGTAGGTGCCACTCCCAAAAGGTGAGCTGTAGAGCTGTCCCCAGGCTCTGCGTTCAGGTGAAGAGGCGCACAGAGAAGCAGGTGTTGGCTTTCTTAGACAGCGTGGGCCCTAAATAAGCGCACGCAGATGAGAAGTAGTAGTCGTGGCTACGCAGCCTTGTCCTGCATCCTGTTGGCAGACTTTTCTAGTGAAGATTGAAAGAGTGGTTTTGAGAGGTGACTACTATAGTCTGCAGCTCTGAGACTGGTAGGTAGAAGTGGGACAGAAATGGAAGGGGGCAGCGATGAAAGAAAAGCGGTGGCTTTTACCTACCTGAAGTCTGCTTAAGGCCACAACTGGAAAGTAGAAGGACATACTTCCGTTTCCCTTCTCTGCTGCCCTGTATGAAGTGACATTCAAGCTCATGCAGCTGTACTGCTGATTATATAGACTGTGGGCGAGCTTGGGGACCTAACTTCTTTTAGTGCAAATTGGTAATTAGTAAAGTACTTGAAGACGCTGAAAATATCCCGTAGAAGCTGTTGGCTCGTGGGCTGCGGGGTCGTGGTGTGGAGCGTGACGTGGATACGGTCTCTGGTAGGAGTCTCCACACCCAGCGGTGGCACAGAGCCCAGCACCCGTGGGGCTTCAGCGCCCCGACAGAGGCATCCCTGTGCACGCGTGCATACACGCTTGGCGATCATCTGGGAGGCAGTGCCCTGGGCAGGCTGCACCCCTCGGAGAGGCGTGTACACGGTGGGCTCAGCCCCGGCACAGGCATTCCCCACCCAGGTACAGCATTCCGGGCTCAGGAGACACTGGGACCCTGGCCTCACCCGGAGTCGCTGGGCTGAGCAGCTGGCTAGTGCAGGGCGGACGCTGGCCTGGGTAACCCTTCCATGGTCGGGGCATGGTTGCCCTTGTAGTTTAGGGTCCGAGCCAGGTGTGGTGGTGCACACCTGCAATCCCAGCACTTGGGAAGCAGGAGGATCTCTGAGTTTGAGACCAGACTGGGCTGCCCAGTGAATGCACAGCCAGACTGTCTCAGAAAGCCACAAACAGTTGCTGTCCTTTCTTTCCTCCTGCGAGATCTTTAAATACGTGCCTTCCTCTCAGTGTGCTTGTGCTGAAATTTGTTGTCTGTTCCGAATGCGCTCATTCGGCACACATCTGGCGGCAGCCTCCCGTGGTGCCCGGGTCTGCAGTGCTGAGCAGATGCGGCCCGGTTCCCACCTCAGAGCACACGCCGGTGGGCAGAGCGAGCACAACCCCGCCGCTTGCTGGCCGCTTGCTGGCTGCTCGCTGGCCGGAGGGTCAGCCAGAGGAATGGGCACTGCAGGTCTGCCTGAGAGCTGCTCGGCTGGCTCAGGCTGCCTTTTCCTCTCTAGGCTCGCAGACTTACTCCTCAGTGTCTCAGGGCCCATTTTTCCACCTGCACAAACACACACAAATGAAGTAAAGTAAACCGTCTCGCAGGTGTCTGGGCACAGCGTTTACATCTGCTCTTTTCCTTGTAGGTGAACTTTAACGAGCCCTTGTCCATGCTTCAGCGCCTTACTGAAGATCTGGAGTACCACGAGCTGCTAGACCGGGCTGCGAGGTGCGAGAGCGCTCTAGAACAGCTCTGTTATGTTGCAGCTTTCACCGTGTCCTCCTACTCCACCACTGTCTTCCGTACCAGCAAGCCATTCAACCCGCTCCTTGGGGAGACCTTCGAGCTGGACCGGCTGGAGGAGAACGGCTATCGGTCCCTGTGCGAGCAGGTAAGGGTGCTGTGTCCAGAGGAGGGGCTGGCGCTGGGGCTGCCCACCCTGGGGCTGCACTCGCCCAGTCTGCTTTTCCATCCGGGGGCCTTGGGGTGCTGGCTGCCAGTGAGGGCAGACTGCACCCTCCTCCTCTCTGCCGCCTTGACCCGAGCCTGTTCTCTCCAAGGTGAGCCATCACCCCCCTGCTGCCGCGCACCATGCTGAGTCCAAGCACGGCTGGACGCTGCGTCAGGAAATCAAGATCACCAGCAAGTTCCGAGGCAAATACCTCTCCATCATGCCCCTTGGTAAGGCGCCTGCACAGCATCAGCATGCAGGGTGGCGGGTCTCTGTGGCGTAGGCGGGCATGCTGGTGTGACCATTCAGCCAGATGTACTGGTGGGGACTATAGGGAATGATGAGGCTGCACCACAAGGCTTTGTTCCTGGCTGTTTGGCCAAGCCGAGAGCCCCAGCGAACATGGAGTCCAGCATGCGATTCTTAGAGCTGTCTTCTTGTGGCGTCGCCTCCAGGGCTCCGAGATGCGCACCTTGGGTCACATGGGGCTGCAGGGTAGGCTTTCTTGGCTGATTTTTCCCTTTCTTCTCTCTCCCTCTGGCCCATGGTCTGGGTTCCCTTTGTGCTTTAGCTGAATTCCAGGTAAGGTGAAACTATTTTAAGGCATTTGTAGATTACAGGTTAATTTTGTGTCAGGGAAATCTGTGGTGCAGACAGTGAGCAATGCCTTTGCACCGAGGGGATCGAGTGCCTTCTCCCTTGCTTTTATCGTCATAGAAATTATATATTTTATACATTGTGATCTCGTGTCTGGTTTGTAGTGCTACTTTATGCAGTTTAAATCATATTAGAGAAAAATTTGCAAGCGGACCACCTTTACATTGTGCTTTATGGAGTTGAATTGCAGTTTCCTCTGTGGCAGGACTTTGTATTTCCCTTCTCTTCCTTTCTGAATGTGTGTATGTGTGGTTTTTAGGGACCAGATTCAGGGACTTTGTACTAAACCCATTCCTAGTGTCTTTTTAATTTTTCATTTAAAACCAGGCTCTTGCTACGTTGCTGAGTTGTCCAGATTGTGCTTGAACTTGTGATCCTCCTGCCCCAGCCTCCCTAGTGCTAGGTATAGGACATGCTCCCCTACACCCAGCTTCTTTATTTCTTAGTGTAGATTTAGTTCTTACGAGGTAGATCTGCTAGTTATGAATCTACACAGTTTTTGTTGATCCGGGAGTGTCTTAATTCGCCTTTGTTTATGTAGAAATTCTGCTTTGACAATCTTTTCCTTGTCCTATTTTGAATATGTCAGCCCACTCCCTTCTGGCCTCTTGGGTTTTTCTTTTGGTTCAATTGTAATACGCAAAACCTGAATTTCAACATCTCTGCACTTCACCTACACAGTTCGGGTCTTCAGTATGGATGGCCAAGCAGCCCCAGGCCCCTCCAATGTGCAAAACAGAAACGGCCCGTGCAGCAGTGGCTCCCCGTCCTCCCTCCCTCCCCTGAGGCCCTGGAAACCACCATTCTGCTCTCTGATATGAGTACTCTAAGGAACTTTATAGCTCCAGTCATGTAGTATTTGTTTGTCATTTGTTGTTGTTATTTTCTTTGAGCTAGGTCTCACTATGCAGTTCAGGCTGGCCTTGAGCTCACTGTGTAGTATAGGATGGTCTTGAATTCACCACGATCCTCCTGCCTCTGAGTGCTAGGATCGCAGGGGTGTGCCACCATGCCGGCGGGTCATGGTGTACTTGTCCTTTTGTGATTGGCTTGCTCTCAGCATGCGGTCTTCAGGGTGCATCCACTTTGTAGTACTGGCAGAGCTTCTGTTCAAGGCTGCGCAGTGGTCCATTGTACATAGAGACTGTGATTTGCTTGTGTGTGCATCTGTCGGTCGACGCTGGGTGGCTTCCTTGTGTAACTACTGTGAATAGCTCCCAGAGACCCTGCTCTCCGTTTTTTGGGTTTTTTTTTTTTTTTTTTTTTTTTTTTTTTTTTGGTAGATACCCTGTCTTGGTTACTTTTCTCTCGTTGCTTTGACAGAATACCTGACATCCAGAATTAAGGAAGGAAAGGTTTATTTAGCTCACAGTTAGCAGAGGTTTCAGTCTGTAGTCAGCTGGCTCCAAGGCACAGTGGCGCTTGGCTGAGGGCAGCAGTTCATGGCGGCGGTGGAGGGAGGCGCAGCAGAGCAGCGGCGCGCAGCTAGCAAGCCTCTGCCTTCTGCTGTGCTCTCGGCAGGCTCTCTGCCCCAGGGCAGGGACGGGTGTAGCACTCACACCATAAGCTCAGCGTTGGGTCATGAATTCATCACCTAGAAGCCTGCCCTGAGCGCGTGAGGCTTTGGGGGCACAGCTAGACGCAAGCCATAACATACCCCAGAGGGGAGTTCCTGTATCAGCCTGGGCTGCACAGTCAGTTCAGGGTTGTGGACCCAGTGTCCACAAACTGGAAGGAGGGAGCGAGGGAGATGGGCCTACACCACAGCTGCCATGTTGTTTGTATTAGTGGTGACAGAGGGAATTTCGAATGCAAGCATTGCTGGATTGATTATTTTTTTATTTTTTATTTTATTTGTGTGTGTGTGTGTGTGGCCAGTTCAGCCCACCAGGGGGCGGGGCTGGCTGGCATGTGGTGCTGGGGGATTGAACCGCGGTCCCTTGTGCTTTTGCTAAGCTTGTTCTAAGTAGGTGCTTTAGACCACTGAGCCATCTCCCCAGCCCTGGATTGATTATATTGTTGGCTCTGTACATAAATGTTTCGTTGGCTGTGTACATAAATGGATAGCTCAATGGCACAGGCATCTGCTTGGCGAGCTCAAGGTCCCAAGTCAAGAAAAATACATTTGTTTATTAAGTCCTCATTACCTGTGCTGAGAGCACTGCCTGTGTGCTGGTGCTCACTGGAGACTAACTCAGAGGAGCAGGAAACACGGCCGCGCGCCGGTAACGCCACGCGTTCTGTTGGGCAGAGTGCAGGTACTGCTGCCCTGTGTGCGAGTGACAGAACCAGCCCAGGTGGGGCACGGTCTCTGAGTCTGCTGGCACTGACGGAGGGTGAGCCTTGCCATGTGCTGTTGTCCTCCTAAACGCCAGTAGGACCGGGGAGATGGCTCAGGAGAATAAGTGCTTGCCTGGCAAGCCCAGGGTCCCGAGTCCAATCCCCGGTACTGCATAAACAAAAAACCAAGACGCCAATGGAGCGCACCGGCACCTTGTCGGCCCGGGTGCACTGCGCTGCTGTCCTCCGCCTGTCTCAGCTGTGCGCCTCCCGCTTCCAGGTACCATCCACTGCATTTTCCATGCCACGGGGCACCACTACACCTGGAAGAAAGTCACCACGACAGTGCACAACATCATCGTGGGCAAGCTGTGGATAGATCAGGTGAGGAGAGGCCCTGCGCTGCCCACCCAAGGTCCCCTCCGGGCGCGTCCTCACTCTGGCTCATCAGTGCCGCCTGAGGACTTTGTGTCCTGCACTAGTGCTACCTCCATGTTCTCAGTCCCCGTGCCACACTTCCGTCTGTGAGTGGCCACATTGTAACACTCACCTGTGAGGACCACACTTTGGGGATCCCTCTGAAGGAAGGAGAAAGTAATCAGTGCAGCACCCTGTTAAAGGCGAAAGATGGGTGTGACCCAAGAAGACAGCATGAGCCCCCATCACACATGTGCTGCCCGCCCACAGCTAGGTGCTGGGGTTGCAGTCAGAAGGCGTCCAGGGCTCCTGTGGCCTCTGCCACAGAAGACAGTGCCACGCACGCAGGTGGGATGTAGCACAGCGCACAGGGTGGCCTAGGGCAGTCCTAAAGCTCCATTAGTTTGCTGTTGAGGCCATGGCTGCAGAAAATTCTGAGAGGAGTGCCGTGTCTTTTGTTGTTGGTTGGTACCGAGAACTGAACTCAGGACCTTACGCTGGCCAGGCAGCACTTGTGCCAGAGTCCCTGGCGAGAGTGCTGTCTGCTGAGCAGCAAGCAGGGGGTTAAGCTGAGGCTTGCGCATGGCTGGGGATCCCAGAGGCCGCCAGGACTAGGGAGTAGATGGAGAAAGGCTCACTGCGTGTGACTTGGAGACAGCAGAGTACTTGGGCCTCAGCAGCAGAGTCTGTGAAGGGATTGGCTAGGGACAGTGGACTGGTGTGAGTCAGCGAGTGTGCTGAGGGGCCAGCCGTGCCGCCCGGCCTGAGAGCCGGCCAGCGTTGGCCTCCGCTGGCACCCCGCAGTTACGGAGGGCCCTGCAGCCTCCGCCGAGCGTAGCTGAGGCTGCAGCCCTGAGTGGGGCAGTGCCCGAGCATCCTGCTGAGGACAGGGAGGCGTGGGGCTCCGGTCCTCCGGGCTTCACACAGCTAATCCGTGGTTCTTTTCATTTTGCAGTCTGGTGAAATTGATATTGTAAATCACAAGACAGGAGACAAGTGTAATCTTAAATTTGTTCCTTATAGCTACTTCTCTCGGGATGTAGCAAGAAAGGTAAGATGGAATTTGAGTTCTGTTCACTTGCCTGCGCGTCCCTCGGGTGGTGGTCTCTGCACACAGTGCCAGTGTGGGGGTAGACGCATACCCTGCGGGCGGCAGCTCACAGAAACCAGACTTGGGAGTGCTTAGCTAGCCGGCACCCCAGCTGTGGTGGTCCGCAGGAGCGGGGCTGTGCCACCCTGCACGGTGACCTCATTTCTTGTAGGTAACCAGCGAGAAGTAAAAGTCAAGAGCATTGAGGGCCAGAATGCCAGTCAGTTGCTTGTCTTTGTATCCTTGTCTCAAAAGCCCCTCCAGCCAGGAATCCAGTGTGTGCTTGTAATTTCAGCACTCCGAGAGGCTGAGGCGGCGGATTGCGAGTTGGAACCCATCCCAAGTGACTTAGTGAGACCCTGTCTTGAAATAAAACATGAAAGGCCGGCGCTACACATCAGGGGAAAACCCTTGGCACAGCTCGGTTACCGCAGCGACAGAACCTGGCCTGGGACCTCCGCGCTAAGCTGTGCTCTCACCCTTGCAGGTGACAGGGGAGGTGACCGATCCGTCAGGAAAAGTGCACTTCGCCCTTTTGGGGACCTGGGATGAGAAAATGGATTGTTTCAAAGTACAGCCAGCCACGGGCGAGAATGGGGGTGATGCCCGGCAGAGAGGCCATGAAGCTGAGGAGAGCAGGGTCACGCTGTGGAAGCGGAACCCCCTGCCGTGAGTACCAGGGTGGCCCTTACTGGGGCAGGTGTCCTCACAGAGTGAGGCGAGGGAACGTGGAGAGGTCATCAGGCCGTGTGTGGTGCTGCGCGGGGGTAGCTCACCTTGTCCCTAGGAAATGTCCTCCCTGAGGTGTGGCCTGGGACTCCTGAGCTCCTGTGGCTTGGAGCAGAACTCCCCAAAGCCAGTCGAGAACGCCCAGAAGCCCCCAGACGGCATCAGGGGCTCTGGAAGTGAGACGGAGGCTGCCGTGCTGCCAGCCTCTGTTCAGATTGGGTCCGAGGGCGCGCCAAGATCCTGGGCAGCGCTTCCCCGCGCAGGTGTTGCCCGGCCCGTGCTGTGGCTCTCCCAGGCTTCCTTGGGGCCGGGCTCCAGCGTTACCTTTTCTCTTTCTCATCCCTTACTTCTAGGAAGAATGCAGAAAACATGTACTACTTTTCAGAGCTTGCACTCACTCTCAACGCCTGGGAAGGGGGCACTGCGCCCACAGACAGCCGGCTGCGGCCTGACCAGCGGCTAATGGAGAACGGGCGTTGGGACGAGGCCAATGCAGAGAAGCAGCGCCTGGAGGAGAAGCAGAGGCTATCCCGGAAGAAGCGGGAGGCGGAGGCCATGAAGGCCTCGGAAGACGGTACGGGTGCCTTCTGCGCTGTGCGAGTCCCAGCGTCAGCGGGGGTGGTGGGCTACAGCCCTGACCCCGTGCTTCCCCTCTCTCCAGGCACACCCTATGACCCCTACAAGGCGCTATGGTTTGAGCGGAAGAAGGACCCTGTCACCAAGGAGCTGACCCACATTTACCGGGGCGAGTATTGGGATTGCAAAGAGAAGCAGGACTGGAGCTTGTGTCCGGACATCTTCTGACGCAGCCCGGACAGGCAGCACTCAGAGCGGAGTGGAGGGCAGGACATGGGAGCTGGCGGGTGGCTGTCTTAACCGATCACTTTGTCCAAGTCAATCACCTGAGCAGACACCGTGGTGTGATTGGCTGGTGGCCTTAGCTGACTGACTCCGAGTCGCGCCTGGACGCCTGGTGGCTCTGGCGAGGGAGTGGCAGCAGGTTCCCCAACGTGAGCCTGGCATCCCTGGCTCTCCTGCTTCCGCTGCCTGTGACGGCGACAGCCTCGACTGCCTCTTGTTGCACCCTGCTGGGCCACAGTCTTTGGAAGGTTGGGATCTACAGGTGGTTTGGTGCTGTCCAGAGCAAGAGCTGATTTGAAAATCGCTTCAGAAAGACACGGAAGAGGACTCAGCGAGGGGGCTGAGAGCGGCTGCGGGGTGACCCTGAGAACCTTGTGTGCAGCTGGGCGCTCGGTGGGCCGGAGACTGCGGCTGGCCAGGCGGCTCGCTCCACCCGTGAAGTTCCTGCCCTGGACCGGGAGATGCCCCTGCCCGTTTCCATCATGCTGGCGGCAGCAGCTGCTGTGCGGGCTCCCCAGGCCTCGAGGGCAGAAGAGTCTGCAAGAGGACGTGTCCTCACTCCGAGCTCTCCCTGGACAGCGCTGCCTGGCCTGATGTCCTCCAGGATGGGAGGGGCCTTCACCTGAACCAACAAGCGTTTTCACCATCTCTCAAGCCCCACGGACCAGAGCCAGCTCTGGAATAATGTGTTAATACCTGTATATTATATATATGTAGAGAAAAATCTAATTTTTTGTTTGATTCCCTGCTTCCTATTAAGAATCTTGCTTTGCATAGCCCTAGTCTTCCCAGGACTCTGGCCGTGTGGATATGGAGGGCCCAGTCGGGGGAGCTTGGGTCCCCTCGGCCTGTTCCGAGCAGGACTGGGCCGTCGTCTGTAGCCTGGCCGGCCGCCTTTGCTGCAGGAGCTCTGGCCGACCTGGCGACCCGACTCCAGTGAACCCCACTCTCCCCTGCCTCTTTTCTTTGGTTAGGAAGAGCGTAGGTGGAAGGTGGGGCTGTGATGCCGGCAGTAGGCCGAAGCCCAGAGGACGCCTTCCTTGGAGGAGGGTGGTCGCAGGCTGCCCTGCCGGCCCTGGCTTCCTCTGGTGCGGTGGGGTCCTTGTGGGCTTGTTCAGGAGTTGCCCCCCAGGCGAGCTGCCTTGGTTGAGGGTCACAAATTGAGGTGCCTTCCTAGTATGCTTCTTAGTGGTTTTGTTTTTGTCCTTAACTGCTGCGCCTCAGCCAGTGAGGTCGGGGGAAATAGCATTCCAGAGGAAGCCACCCTCCACCCTCGGGCTGGGAGCTTTCTCGGTGAAGTAGTACTTCGCTCCTTCCCCGCCCGCCCGCCCGCCAGGCCCAGCCACGATGAGCAGAAGGGTGGGCTGTGGGGGAGCTGCTCCCGAGCTCGTCTCCCGCACAGGCTAGGGCTGCAGGCAGGGGCCCGGGCCCCGAGGGAGCCCCCCGCACACCTGCTTTCTTCCTCACCGCCTGCACTACATTTCCGCCCGCCACCCGCCCCTGCTAATGGAAGAAGCGTAGCGCCTTCAGGGGGAGTCAAGTCACAGCAAACAGAACTATATATATTTTCAGTTTTTTGCCTTATTGCTTTTTTTCCAAAAAAAAAAAAAAAAAAAGAAAGAAAGAAAAACCTACTAAATTAAATAATTTTTAAAAAGCAGTATCGCTTGATTTGCTTTTGTTCTGCTAGGCAGGAAGTGGTGTGGACAGGGGAGGAGAGTGGGTCGGTGGCAGTGCCTTCTGGGAGTCTGGGAGCCCCAGAGCCGTGGGCTTTGGAAACAGCTGATAGGAAAGCCTGGTAGTTCAGCTCTACCACACAGGGAGCTGAGGGCAGTGTGTATGTGTGGCTTTTAATCTTTTTGAGACAGGGTTTTACTTGCAGAGTTCAGGCTGGCCTGGAGCTCACTTTGTGGCCCAGGCTGGTCTCAAAGTTGAAGCAATCCTGTGTGCTGGGATTATAGGTATGCACCTCTATCCCTGGCTTTGAGGATTAGTTTTTTGTGGGGTTTTTTTGAGTACTGGGAATCTTGGCCTTACCAGGCAGGTGCTTGTGCTTCTGAGCTATGTCCCTGGCCCTTGAGGATTCGTTTTAACAGCTCCCAGCATGTCAGTGTTCAGTGTTTTTTGATGCTTCATTTTGGCATTGAGAAATAATTGCCAGTGCTTTTTATTCTGTGCCCTGCTTTACCTCAGAAATAAAAATTAGGAGCTGGAGGTGTGCTTCAGGGCGGAGCACTTGCCTGGCATGTGTGGGGCCCTGGATTCAATCCCCAATACCTCAAAAAAAAAAAAAAAAAAAAATCAGAATTTCCTTGGAGCTGATTTCTCCTGCCCCCTTAGATTCTTCGGCTCTGAGCTGTTTTGCCAAAAGGTTCGGATCGTGCTTTTTGCAGTGTAAGCTGCTGGTGCTGATGGAGGCTGGAGGAGGGCCCCGACCTGAAGACCACTGGCTTGGACTTTCTGTGAGGCCCATGTTCAGGGAGGCTAGGCACAGTAGCCCGGCTGGGAGCGCAGGGACCAGAGCAGGGCAGGCCGATGCTGCTGCCCCTCGTGGGAGCACGGCTTAGAAAGTGCCGTGCTGAGGCTGCAGGCACCAGGGCGGGAAGAGCCCTCGCTGTCACATGGCTGGTCAGTCGCAGGAGTGCCATCAGTGACCTCTGACCATGTCCTGGGAGGAGCTCTGGATCACAAGGTTACCCTGCAGCAGGCCGAGCTGGTGCGTCAGTCATGGGCTGACCCTGAGGTTCTGTGCAGTGTCCTTCAGACCAGCCACCACAATCCCAGCCTGCTGTGGCTTCGTGTCCACAAAATTGCCTTCATCTTGTCATTTTTCTACCCTGTTCGATTTGCCTGACTCCTGTTGGTGGGTTTGATTTCTCTGAAAGTTTTTCCCCCTGCAAGATGAAAACCGCAGTTGGTGCTTGACACTGAGAACCATGTCGTGTGCTCCTGAGTGCCACCACGGTGTGCCGCTTCCTGTGTATGTTGGGCATGCGGAGGCACAGCCGTGCATGCCCCTTCCTGTCACCCTCTGGGAAGGGAGTCCTGAGGGTCTAACTGCAGATACTTCCCCACGGCTACAAATTATCACATTCTTTGGGACTACAAATCTCACAGAAACAAATACATGTGTCGAAGGGCGTGAGAGCCAACAGGATATATAGAAAAAAGTGAACTTCAGGAGCAGGTGTGTAGCCTGCGGAACTCCGTTAAGTGTTACTGGGATTTACAGCGCTCATGTAAACGCCTTCCCGTCTGGAGCTTGAACCCTCAGCTCCCTCCTGTAGGGAGGCCGGAGGAGGCTTCCTCAAAGCCCAGACACAGAGGTGCTCCTTGTGCTCAGTCCACAGACTCGGCCTCCGCCTTCGTGACTTCAGGAGTTACCGGGAAACATCCTCGAGGCGGCGGGGAGTGTTTTCATTCACCCTGCGTTCATTCATGCATGCACGCATCCTTCCATTTACCCAGTACCCATAGCACAGCCTCTTCTGTGACATAGACTGAGTGCGGGTGGCAGAAAGAGCTTAAACAGGCAGCTGCAGTCTGGTCTGATAACGGTGTAAGAGCAGTGGCGAGGGCAGAGGCACTGCGGGAGCGGGGGGCTGAGCGCATTGGGTCCAGCGGGGGTCGGGGGGGGGGCAAGGACAAAACGCTGCACGGACAAAATAAAGAGGGAGGTCCGAAAGAGCCTTCTGACTCTGGGCGAGTGCGGGAGCGGCCTGTGTTTGGGGCCCACGGGGAACAAGGAGGTGGTGCTGGGGAAGGGCAGGGCCCGAGCTCTCGGGCTGGGGCTTGGAGTTTGGGCAGGAAGATGGGTTGCAGTGCAGAAGGTGATGGGTAGCTTAGAAACTCAATTAAGAGGTTGGAGAAGATGGCCATTCCAGAAATAACCAGTTATGGTTCTTATCTAGGTGTTCCCATAAAGGCTCATGCACTCATAGGTGGGGCTTTGAGGAGGTCACTGGATGACAGGGCCATGATACTCATCAGGGTGGGTTCATTTACTCCTGAGTTACCTAGATGCTACTGGGAGGTGGGGCTTGGAGGAGGGGTGGGGCTGGGGCGTGGCCTGGAAGGGGTGGGCGTGGCCTGGGAGGGTGGGGCCGGGGCGTGGCCTTGGAATCTGTGGCCCTCTTCCTCCGTTGATCCCTCTGTTTCCCCCTGCCCTTCCAGGAGCTGTCCCTCCTCACAGCCCCACTGCCATTACTTAGAGCCAGCTGACTACAAACTCTGAGCTAAAACAAACCTCTCCTCCTTTAGTCTGTGGCTGTCAGGCACTGTGTCCTGGTGATGAGCAAGCAAAGACAAGGGGCAGTGCTTGAGCGTGGCCACCGGCGCGGATGTGCTAATGCGACACATCTGGAAGGAAACAGAATTTCAGTTTCTGGGCTTTTGTTGGAGGTGACCGGAATACCAGAGATGTTCAAAGTGGGGTTTATATGTAGGAGCTCCATTTGTGTGAACACAGATGAGAAAACAGGAAACGGCAGGTTGAAATCACTCGGCCAACTTGGATATATGCGCGTGTGTGTGCTGAACCTCACCAGCAGGCCTCTGACATTGTTACCTAAGCAGGCCCTGTCCGGTCCCGCCTCATACACAAGGGGGCAGGTGACCAGTGGATGACTTAAGCCCACGCACCAAGCGCAGGCAAAGATGTGCCCTGGTGCCAGTTTTCCAGCACACCGCAGTGACCGTCAGCGCAGTTGTGAAGGTTGAGAAGCTCCGTGCTTCGCGGCGGCTCCTCTGCTCACGTAGCACGAGTCTCAAGTCAAAGGTCCCGGGCTGATTCTCATCGGCTGGCCCTGGGGACAGTCTGCTTGAGCTTGTTCCTGTGCTCTGCAGTGAAGGTCGGCAGCCACCCGGCGCCCACACACTGTCCGCTTCGCATGGCCTCTGCTCCCCTCTGCCTTTGTGCTCCGTCTTTCCTGCAGTTTCTGTCTCTGAGTCCCTTCTACAACCTGGACAAGAACCCTCGGCTCTTACAAGGCTCGGGCAGTTAGCCGAAGCCCATGCAGATAGTTACGCATGTTCGAGTCACTTGTGTTGACTTCTCCTAGGCGCAGGAGTGAAATCCATCATGCTTGTGCATCCAGGGAAAGCGCGTGTGGTGTTCTGCACCTGTCATCCCAGCTGTCTGGGAGGCTGAGGCAAGAGGATTGCAAGCTTGAGCTCAGCCTGGGCAATTTAGTAACTTAGTGAGATCCTGACTCAAAGTAAAAAGGGCAGGATGTAGCTCTGTGCAGAGGACCTGGGTTCAATGTCCAGTACCAGGTGGGACAAAAAATAGTCACACGGATAAGGCAGGGCACTTAGTTGACTGGCAGGTATCTCAGGGCCACTTTAGGAATTTTCCTTGTACATCTTCCCAGGACAGGCAAAAAAGACGAAGTGTAAGCTAAACTAATGATGGACTCTCGAGTGTGGAAGCCTTTGGCGCCGTCTCCTGTGGGCAGGACAGCCATGTGCGTGTCAGCCGGCAAGCGTGCTCTCCCAGGCTCTGGAGCACAGTGACCTGGAGCCCCCACACCCAGCCTGCTGTCTGTAAACTAGATTAAGGCGTGCATGCTTCTGTCTCAGGCTACGTACCGTGCTCACACCTACTTGTGAAGTGGCTCGAAGCGCTGACGTATTCTAATTATTCTAGTTACTCAGAACCACTTTCTTGGGAGTTAATCTAAGGATGCAAAATTAAGAAATGGGAGGTGGAGGGGACTAGAGTCAGCAAG